GGAATCGTTAAAAAAAAAAAAGATATAGGTCTTCCGTTCGTTTTAAACTTTTAATTGCAACATTGGTAATTTCACGCTTGCCAGTACATATTCTATGAGCTAAATATCTTAAGTGAATTATTGACATTATTGGCTACTTCTGTGGTTGAAAAAACAACATATACCCGACTCCCATGTACTTGTGAATTATTGCCAATTGTTGGCTACTTCTGTGAAGTGACTGGTTGCACTGTCGTAGTTAGGCTTATGATACCGAGTTTATTTTCGGCAATACATGAGCTGGAATGTTAGTAGGACTACCTCAAAGGTAGTCTTAGATTGTTGTCATTCTCAATTCTGCACTTTTCAATTTGTATCTGCAAGTTGTTACTGAAGGTGCTTTGTTGTTTACACTAGTGTGTGAAAATCTATACAACTTGTGACTAATGGGTGGTTTTAGTGGCTGTATGCCTGCATCTTATCTGTATGCCTATCTTGTGCCATGTATGTGCCGTCAATGATTTGTGCTATCCATAATCCATTGTTTGCCTGTGATTCGGATTCACGCGTCTATATGCTAGATAAACCAGAATCTAGTCATTCATTATTATCATCGATTATGTTCCATCGAATTTCTTAGTCCATTCAAGGCTTGCAGGCTCCAACTGTTCCTAATCTGAAAGCTTGTAGGCTTATCTATATATTAAACATGCATCTGATTTAGGCTGCTGTGATCTAAACGACCTTTTTTTTGAAGAACGTGATCTAAGCGGCCTAAAATAAGCAAAGTGTGAAGATTCTTAACTGATTGGATTTAATGTTGCACTAACAGAAAACAATGACTGAAACAACTGTAATAACAGGCATTATTTTTCAAGCTTGATGAAGACTTGGAACATGTAGCTCACTCATAATCAAATTTTCGTTCTTTTCACCTATAGAACCCTTTATCTGAACTGATTAGACCTTGATCGAGCTTATTTTTTTCCTTTGTTTAATTTATTTTAGTTGAAAATTCAAAGTATTCAACTTAGGCGGCCCTATGAAAACTTATCTTAACTAATTGGCTCTTACTTATTCTGAACTTTTGACTTATCTTTCTTGAAACTTGTTTTTGTAAGGTTAAAAGAACAAAGCCTTAATCATCACCTTCAATTGACCAAGGATTGAGCTTGGACTGATCTGTTCTATTGAAATGTCTGCAGCACAAGCACAACTGTATCAAAATTTGATGGCTGAGAAGATGCCTACTAAGGATAATATTGCTGATTTTGCTCGGGAATCACTCATCGCTTTATCAAACTCTTTACCTGATAAGCTTTCTAATTCACCTGATAAGTTCCCTAATTCACCTCATTCTTCAGAGAAGGTGACCTATGTTGGTAATACAGTAAATGAAAAGGATGGTACCGTGGACTATTGGTCTGAACTAATTTCATTGTCCTACCCAACACCTGATGCTGAATCAGTACCTCATGTTAAAGGGTAGCTGCAAGATGGTGTATTATATAGGTCTATAATAACTGACCGAAAACAGAATACTAATCTCACATGTTGATGTGTTGGAAATTGTAAGTTACCGGCTAATCGGCTATACATAATAGGCAGGGTTTTCCCTCCTTGCTTACTGTTATGTTCTGGTAATCACAAGTGATTCAAGAAAATGTATTGCGTATGCATATGATTTGATTGTCTTCTTTGCTTCAAATAATCAAATGTAATATTGGTATATGTCTCACTTGAAATTATGTACTTATCCCTCTGGATTTATCCTTGTCCCACCTACCAATCCCCTATCTTTATCCTCCCTTCTTATCCCTCTTATTTCTATCCCTCCAACCAAACGCACCGTGGATGCTCCTCCCAGTTCTATTCATAGTTCTCAACCTCTTCATCCTCCAAACTCTAAAACCCTGCACCCTTAAACCCTCTCAAACTCTCAAAGAGAGAAAAAAGAGAAGTTTTTGCATACTTTCATTGTAAGATGTCAATGAAATTAATCCAAAATCTCAAACCCACCAAAAAATTTCATAAAATTCCTTACAGTATCCTCAATTCATCAAATACCCACCAAAATCGTCAAATGACGACAAGTAAAAGATTACAAGACAGGAGTAAGAAGAAGCGAGTTCACGATCTTGAAATCGTCACAGAAAGATGGAAAATTTTCTCCAAAATCCATCATTTAATGGAGGTAATCAAATCTGAACCTGAACATGTAATTTCAATTCGATATCTTGAACAAGAACGCCGTCAAATTAATCTCCCTAAACCCCATAGATTATCTGATTTTCTTCGAAAATCGCCGAAATTGTTTGATTTGTACAAGGATCGTAAAGGGACTTTGTGGGTTGGAATGACCCCAGAGGATTTGCTTGAAGAAGAGGAGAGAGAAATTGAAGCACATAGTGATAAATTAGCTGAGTATGGTACTAGGATTTTGATGATGTCAATTGATAAGCAAATTCGGGTTGATAAGATTGCTCATTTTAGGAAGGATTTTGGGTTGCCATTTGATTTTAGGAACAATTGGGTGCATAATTATCCTAATCTTTTTAGGTTAGTTAAGGCTGAGGCAGATGATGGGGGTGTTGATCATGAGTTTTTAGAGTTGGTGAATTGGAAAAATGAGTGGGCAATTACTGAATTGGAGAAAAGAGGGAAAAAATTTAGGGGGAGATGAGTTGAATTTGCATTCTCCAGGGAAGCTTTCATTGGCATTTCCAATGAAGTTTCCGCCGAATTTTAAGAAGTTGTTTAGGTTTGGTGGGACTTTGGAGCATTTTCAGAAGAGGGAGTATTTATCCCCTTATGCTGATGCTCGAGGGCTTGCAGCCGGATCACAGGAATTTGATAAACGAGCAGTTGCGGTTATGCATGAATTGCTTAGTTTTACACTTGAGAAGCGGCTGGTTACTGACCATTTAACTCATTTTCGACGTGAGCTTGTGATGCCACAGAAGTTGATGAGGTTGTTGTTGAAGCATTTTGGTATATTTTATGTTTCAGAAAGAGGGAAGCGGTTTCATGTGTTTTTGAATGAGGCATATAATGGGCCGGAGTTGATTGAGAAATGCCCATTGGTTCTTTGGAAGGAAAAGGTGATGAATCTTATTGGTTATAGAGGGAAGAAGAAGAAGGCTGCCTCTTTCGACGAATTTTCTGATATTGAGGATGAAAACTTGTTCAAGAGTGATTCTGATGATGAGACTCCAGATTAACTTAGAGCAAGAGAGTACATTGGATGGTTTAGATGATGATGTGCTTGCAAATAAGGCTGAGATGGATATTGATTCATGGAGGTTCATAATACTTGATGCTGCTAGGTTTTGCCACTTTGACAATGGTCGTGAAATTCATGGAATTGAATACTGATTAGAAAGCAACTTTATAAAACCAGTGGTGCCATCAATTTTCTGTCAGCAGAATCACAAGAGAATGTTACCTGCTGGTTTCAGGTTCACAAAAAAAACGCATGGTATACAATACAGTGAATAAACTAGCAACATAATGAAGTTGACATAACAAGGAAAGGTGCACTATATGCACAGTTTTTACAACAAATTACCAATGATGTTAATTTGTCAATATTTGACATCTGACGGATAATAAATAAGATCAATATCGGACATAGATATGTCAAGAATAATATATGCGAAAGCAGGAATGACAAGATACGACTATAAGAGATGCTTAGCAATTTAACAATTTTAAGGCCAAAGTACTTGTTTCGACATTAGGTAGTGACAGATAATGAGTATAAGCAAACTAAAGATAAGGAAAGCGATAGACGTTCTCACTTGATGGGTGAAATAATGAGGGCTCTAACGTACATAGCAATTCGTACATGATTTATCAAAGCATATTTGCAAACCTATGAATTAGAGGGGAAATGACAACAAATCCAAGTATCAAGATTCAAGAAGGAACATCTATAGTAAACTGTAAAATTGTATATCTTCAGTATTTATCAAGAATCACAGTTCACTCCTCCAGAAAGGGCTACATGTATGAGGTTTGTTTTCCCCACACCCTATTTCCTCAACAACTTTTCCTGGTATTAGGTGCAGTTTGTAAAAGAGGAGAGGAGAAGAGGTGCTTAGATCAATTGTAGCCACATGAATCGCAAACTATTACCAGAACTATACAGCTAAGTATACACACAGACAAGTTCAAAAATTAAGTTTTCTGTAGAGAGTAAAATTCAAACTTTAAGACAACTGAGCTGGGTTTTCATCAATATATTATAATCTCTGGTACTTGAAAACAAATACACAGCAGTTGCAGAAAAGGTTACCACGCATTATTTGAACCACCCCTATCAATTCAGTAGTATATATATCACCAACTGTGAGTGTATAGCCAATTGGTAAGAGGCCACAATGCAGCAATTGACTTCAAACAAAGATTTCTATACAAAGAAAAGGGAAATAAATTTAACATAAACATTGTAGGTTGATACTAGAGAGCAAGAAAAAGACATTGAGAATAGCAGAAAACGATCCAGAAATAATAAGATGACAAAACAATTATACAAATAGGGAGCCAAGAATGCAAAGAAGAGAGACTGAACGCTATGTTATGGACAGCAGAAAAATCGAGCAGCAAAATGCACAAAAGTTTCTCCAACTGGTATTGTTATCAGTAACAAAGACAACAGCTGACCTTGAATTTGATCAATAAGACCAGGTAACAAGAATATTTAAGTAATCCTGTTCTTAAATGTCACAATAAATAAGAACAGGAAGTATTCATCATCAAGATGAACTGAACAAGATATAATAGGTTAATTATTGAAACTGCTGGAAGAAGCTACAATATTAACTACGGCTGTTGTCTGGCTCCAAATATTAGTTTATGAGGTAAGACAAATTTTTTTGGACCATTGATTATAAAAAGAACTTATGAAGAGGAATGCGTAGCAAATAATTCCTTCAAGCTATAACAATTCCACTGGAAATAAATTTTGTCCAGTTATATGCTAAGACAGTTAGCTGGTTGCAAAGTAGATTTAACGAATCTAGAAAATTACTTATTGACTCAGGTGGTATAAGGTGAAATGAGAGTATCACATATCATCAGACTTCCTTCAAAAATTATATGGTGAGTAGACTAAATACCGTCACAGAAATATACATATACATATATGTCTCCAATGAGCCACCTAATTTAACTCTAAAGCCAATTATAGCACTCGAACACCGTTACAGGCCTTACAGCAATTGCAACACAGCTAAAATAATAAAATTTGATGTCAAAAAATGCTATAGTTTAAACTTCAAAAAAGTCTTACAGTAATATTAGGCATGCAGCTGAGAAGCATCCATCGTAAATAATGACTGGATGATGGTTAAGCATCCTTATAAGCACTAGAAACTTCCTCAATATCCATCTCAGCCTCATTTGCAAGCACATCATCATCTAAACCATCCAATGTACTCTCTTGCTCTAAGTTAATTTGGAGTCTCTCATCATCAGAATCACTCTTGAACAAGTTTTCATCCTCAATATCAGAAAATTCGTCGAAAGAGGCAGCCTTCTTCTTCTTCCCTCTATAACCAATAAGATTCATCACCTTTTCCTTCCAAAGAACCAATGGGCATTTCTCAATCAACTCCGGCCCATTATATGCCTCATTCAAAAACACATGAAACCGCTTCCCTCTTTCTGAAACATAAAATATACCAAAATGCTTCAACAACAACCTCATCAACTTCTGTGGCATCACAAGCTCACGTCGAAAATGAGTTAAATGGTCAGTAACCAGCCGCTTCTCAAGTGTAAAACTAAGCAATTCATGCATAACCGCAACTGCTCGTTTATCAAATTCCTGTGATCCGGCTGCAAGCCCTCGAGCATCAGCATAAGGGGATAAATACTCCCTCTTCTGAAAATGCTCCAAAGTCCCACCAAACCTAAACAACTTCTTAAAATTTGGCGGAAACTTCATTGGAAATGCCAATGAAAGCTTCCCTGGAGAATGCAAATTCAACTCATCCCCACTAAATTTTTTCCCTCTTTTCTCCAATTCAGTAATTGCCCACTCATTTTTCCAATTCGCCAACTCTAAAAACTCATGATCAACACCCCCATCATCTGCCTCAGCCTTAACTAACCTAAAAAGATTAGGATAATTATGCACCCAATTGTTCCTAAAATCAAATGGCAACCCAAAATCCCTCCTAAAATGAGCAATCTTATCAACCCGAATTCGCTTATCAATCGACATCATCAAAATCCTAGTAACATACTCAGCTAATTTATCACTATGTGCTTCAATTTCTCTCTCCTCTTCCTCAAGCAAATCCTCAGCTTCTGGGGTCATTCCAACCCACAAAGTCCCTTTACGATCCTTATACAAATCAAACAATTTCGGCGATTTTCGAAGAAAATCAGATAATTTATGGGGTTTAGGGAGATTAATTTGACGGCGTTCTTGTTCAAGATATCGAATTGAAATTACATGTTCAGGTTCAGATTTGATTACCTCCATTAAATGATGGATTTTGGAGAAAATTTTCCATCTTTCTGTGACGATTTCAAGGTCGTGAACTCGCTTCTTCTTACTCCTGTCTTGTACTCTTTTACTTGTTGTCATTTGACGATTTTGGTGGGTATTTGATGAATTGAGGATACTGTAAGAAATTTCATGAAATTTTTTGGTGGGTTTGAGATTTTGGATTAATCTCATTGACATCTTAGAATGAAAGTATGCAAAAACTTCTCTTTTTTCCCTCTTTGAGAGTTTGAGAGGGTTTAAGGGTGCAGGGTTTTAGAGTTTGGAGGATGAAGAGGTTGAGAACTATGAGTAGAACTGGGAGGAGCATCCACGTTGCGTTTGGTTGGAGGGATAGAAATAAGAGGCATAAGAAGTGAGGATAAAAATAGAGGATTGATGGGTGGGAAAAGGACGTTTTCGGGGTTAGAAATAGGGAATTAGGATTAAAGCACTCACTTATTCCTTCATTTTTAGAACTAAGGGGGAGGGATAAGAAATGGGTTGAAAAAGTCCAAATTACCCTTAATGAAATTGAAAAGGTGTGGAGAAAGGGTGGAAGTTAGTAAGGATATTTTTATAATTTTATTATTTATCCTTAATTTGTTTCTTATATTTATGATCAATGCGCAGGTGATCTCTTGTAAATCAAGGAAATGCATTACCAAGTTCTGAAGAGAAACTGCAGTCACAATTCTGAATCTACAAATACTGTTCGATTGCAAACAAGATTTCCTGGGTCTACAACTCAGGCTCAATGGACTTGGTGAGCAATTCACTACTCAGTATGCAAAAATTCTGTTTATAAAAGGCGACTGCTTTTAAATAACTTTATAATTAATACGAAGAGTACATGACAGTTATGTCCGTATGGAAGGAGAATTATTGTTAAATTAGCCATAAGACCAAGTAAGAAGTGCTTTATGCTCGCTTTAATGAGGTTTTCTTAAACACTGAGCGCAACTCGTAACACATCAACACAAGATCATGGGGAACTGGTCTCTTATATATGCAAACGATGTGCAAGATTACCTTGGTAGTAACTAGTAAACAAATAAACTTAACAACTCCATATAAACACATTCTATATACTTGTCAAACTAAGGAGCTAAACTAGAGCCGATCATGGGTCGTGTTTGGGCCTTGTTCTGATCTCGCTGGGATTTTTGTGCCAAGATCAGATTGGGCTACGCGGTCAGGCCCAAAACAGATAGATCCAAATTACACTTACAATTTTCAACTTTTTTTTTTTTTTTTGTGGAGTTGGTAAAAAGAGGAAATCTGGTAGTTAGGAAAGTTGAATATATCCTGATTGTATAAAGAGGAAAAATAAAGGCATAATTGTGGAATGGTGTATCAATATCCAATGTAGAGTGATAGAGTGATTCTCATTCCCTACCAAAGTAGGTTCATGGACCTTGAGTACCAGGCCTTGTTTCACCTTCAGTAATGAAATGGGAAATAAAGTGCCATGGAGAAGATTAAAGTGTTTGACAGTAAGTCTGTGATTGGATTTGGTTTAAGATAAGTATGGTTGTCGGCCATTCCGAGCCCGCCTACGTGTCATGCTAGCATGCCACATATATTTCCGATGAGGCGATGATAGTTGTATTGTGCAAAATTATTAGTTATTTTATTAAATAAACAACTATCACTACACGTCTACAACACGACACGACCCACATGTCACCTTAAGTGTGACTCAAAATCTCAAATCATTTGACTCCGCTAGTCCATGGGCTGCTTGCTAAGGCTATGTTGATCTTGGTTAAATTTATGACCCATATATGACTTTTGCATTTGAGAAGATTTTATAAAAAAAAGGAAAGGAGTACAATATTTTCAAGATATAACTGTACTTTTTTTTTAATTAATGACTTAATACTATTAATGACTTAATACTTAATAATAATAAAAATTACATAAAAATTTGGTAAAATTAATTTTGATCAGCAATTATGGGTGTTAACGAGCAAACTGACACCGAGCCTCTTTAGGCTCTCGAGCTCGAAACTCGGTTGTAGCTCGAAGCTTGTCGAGGTCAGGTTGAGCTCAAAACCCTCGAACACTACATGAGCTTGGCTCGAGGCTCGATCATTGTATGTTTGATCTAGTCTCAAATTTATTTATCTTTATCAAACTCCTAAGTCCCAATTATCAATAACTAATTTAAAGTTACAAATTATCTTATAATAAAATATTTGAGCTTGTGCATAGGGGTGTACCTAAACAGGACCGGACCTGAAAACCGACCTGACCCGGACCTGTTTGGACCGGACCTGTAGATTTAGGTCCGGTCCCGGTCCTTGAAAATCAAGGTTCCCGGTCCCGGTCCAGATCAGGTCCAAACCCGGGGTTTTCAGGTCTGGACCTGAAACCCGGTAAAAATGTCTTTTTTATTAAAAAAAAAAAATCCAAATTTCAAAACAAGTCTGTTCATTTTTGTAACCCACTTACCCACTAACCCTAACTCACTCCTCACTCACGCACTCTCTCTCTCAGCCGACACCGACACCACACCAACACTCACTCCCTCACGCAGCAGATCTGCACAGACACCAGTCGCCACCGCCCAGACACCAGTCGCCACCGCCCACCAGACCAGCAGCACGGAAACCTCTACACGCTGCATCAGCCAGACTACCATCTTCGTCCACCTGCACGAACTCCTTCACGGTGGGATTTGTAAGTTCTTTTTTTTTTTTTAATTAAATCGAATTATATTTGAATTGGATATTTTTTAATTTGAAATGTTGAATTAAATGTGAGGCATTCATATGTTTATTCATGTTTCAATTGCTAATAATGATTGTTTGATGTTTGCATGTTGAAATTCTGTTTTTAGTTCATTTTTTTCGAATTCATGTTTTTTTTTTGAGTTTTTTATTTATTTAAAGTAACTGTTTTTGAATTTTTTTTAGTTCAATTGTTTCGAATTCATGTTGAATTTTGGTTTCTTTCGATTTGTGAGTTTAAAATCTGTTTATATTGTGAATTTGCTGGGAGTAGATTGATAAATCAGGGATAGGCTACTCTACTTGTTGTATAACTTATGGAACAGTTTAAAATCTGTTTATATTTTCAGAATATATGCAATGTAGTATTCTGTGAATTTTTGTAAATTTGTTGGACAGTGTACTAATCAAATGGTGTATTGCACGGTTTGTACCACATGCTAGTGTATTGTATATTTTGTATGTATTCTGTTAATTTTGTGAATTCAATTTGAATTGTAATTGAATTCTATCATTTTATATGTTTAGGATCAACAAGAACCACAGATTATACTCATTAGTGTGAATCACGCAATCAAAGGGAAAGCAACTCGCCAAAATTCAAGTTGTCTTTGGATAATTAATGTATTTATAGTATTTGAGACTTAGAGACTTCATGTAATTTAATGAATTATTTGTTATATTTGAGACTTAGAGATTTTATGTAGTTTTTGTTATTGATATTTTTAGGTTTTATGTAAACAGGTCCATAAACAGGTCTATAAACAGGTTCAACAGGTTATTTATTTTCTTTAAAAAAAATACACACAAAACAGGTCTGTTCAGGTCTGGACCTGACCCGGACCTGATTGCTCGGACCTGCTGAATCAGGTCCGGTCCCCGGTCCTCAAAATTGGCTGATTCAGGTCCCGGTCCTAACAGGTCCGGTCCAGGTCCGATCCGGTTTTGGACCGGTGTACAACCCTACTTGTGCATGAGCTTTTGAGCTGAGCTAAAGATAGCACAAGCTTGGCTTGTTAAGATCTCGAACCAAGCTTTGACAGAGCTAAGTATCGAGTAGTTTGTGAGCAGGCTCAAGTGCTCAGCTTATCAACACCCCTAGCTGCAACCTAAAAGAAATATTCTTAAAAGAGTTAACTAAGTAAGTTTGGTGGAGAAATCACCTTGTAATCATAGTTTGAGCTTCAACATCTACATTTGTTTGAGTATAGGGATATTCCCTTGCCTCTCCCTCTTGCTATAAATAAAAATAATACAACTTTTGTAGGATATCTTCTTATATTGATTCATAGGAAAAAAGTTACATGCTTTACAATAACATATTGTTTTAGTAGAAGGAAATGGAAAGAAAAGGAGGAAAGGGAAAAAGGGGAGAAAATCCCTTTGTTTAGATAAAGAGTTGTAGGAAGAGAAAGGGAAGGGTTCGAGGGAGAGATTCATTTTCCTTTCCTCTTCAACTAACACTTTCCCCTCCAAAAATGTAATGATTTGGATGAAAATGGAGCTCTATTTCCTTCATCCCTTTCCTTCTCGTCCCCCTTCCTCCTTTTTTCCCTCCCCTTCCTCTTTTACGCTATCAAAACTTGTGCTCCTACGTTATGGTTATTACATGTGTTTTCCAATGCTTTCCATTTCATTTTTTTGCCCTTTGCATCTTCCTTTGTTTTTCGTTCCTTTTCTTTGACCTCCTAATTTAATCTTTTTCTCACTATCAATTCATCTTATCCTACAATTTATCGACATTTATACTTGCTCTTACTTTATACACATTTTCTTACACCCATTACATTTTCTTACTTTCCACGATACTCGATCGAATTTATTGAATCTACACTAAATGAATATAACATATACAAAAAAAAAAGTTATGAAAGTTGACATTATACTTATTAAAATCATAATTCTGAGTATATGTCAAAGTTTTTCTAAATTCAAAACAAACAATATTTTAAGGGGAATGCATAAAGACAATATGCTCCAACATCAAACTAAAAAGGCCAAATAAATGGAACAGAAAAAACATTGAACATAATCCAACAAAAATTAACAAAATTACTTTTCATCAAATGACAATACATGAAATGAATTTAGCCTTTAAAATAAAAGAAACTCTTTACTCTTTTTTTACTAAAAACCCCTTCTTCTTCCCCCCTTAAATTATTTCCTTTTTTAGTACATTTTCAGATTTTCTTACACTACCACCAACATCTTCTAGCACCCTCTCCTTAATCCTTATATTTCTTCAATCAAACCCACTTCAAAATTTCAACTTATTTATTAATACCCAATATTTTCCTTCATAATATAATTTGTTTCTTACACATATTTTTATTTTTTTTATTTTGGAAGATTTAAGACCAAAAAAGTATAAAAAAAATGGAGTTGGGTATGATTTCAATGATAACAATTTCAATTTTAGTTGGGTTGATGATTTGGTTACTAAATTTCTTGTTGAGAAGAGTAAATTATTGGGTGTATGAATCAAAACTTGGAACTATGAAGCATGAATTGCCACCAGGTGATCTGGGTTTGCCATTTATTGGAAATATGTGGTCTTTTCTCAGAGCTTTCAAGTCTGCTAATCCTGATTCTTTCCTCAATTCTTACATTACCAGGTTCTTTTTTTTTTTATCACTTCCTCTGTTTTTTTTTTCTTTTTTTTTAATTTTTTTTTTTTGGATACTCCTTTCGTTTTTTTAATATCGCATCACTTGTATGAAGTTTTACAAATATTGTATCACTTTCATTTTAGGACAAAAAATATCTATGTTTAGACTGCAAATACCCAACATACCCTTACTTTTTGACATTTACTTTTATCTTATCTTTACATTACATGGACAATTTTGTATTTTTACATTTCTCTCTCTTACTGTTTTCCATTACCAAATTTTTCCTCCCAAACCCTTATGATGCAATAAAAAAAGAACGGAAGATGTATATGAAATGTGTCATGTTTTGGGTTAGACCAGTTTGATCGTTTATTTGATGGGTGAGAGTGTGAGACGCGTAATAAGTCACCCCGATGATGAATATTGATGTATAGTAAATACGGAGTATG